ATTCTTTCTTTACTCTGTATGTTTAGTGTTTTGATTATTATGTGGTGAGGGGACCTTTTTGGATCTAGTCTATTAAGTATTCTGTAAGCTTCTTATATCTTCATAGGCATATCTTTCCTTGGGTTGGGAAAGTTTTCTTCTATGATTTTGTTAAACATATTTTCTGTGCTTTTGAGTTGAACTTCTCCTTCTTCTATACCTATTATTCTTAGGTTTGGCCTTTTCATGGTGTCCCATATTTCCTGTATATTTTAGGTTATGCTTTTGTTAGATTTAATGTTTTCTTTGACTGCTGAGTCTATTTCCTTTAATGTCTCTTCAGTGCTTGAGATTCTCTCTTCCATCTCTTCTATTCTGTTGTTTATGCTTGTGTTTGTGGTTCCTGATCATTTTCTCATGATTCTTGTTCCTATAATTCCCTTGGCTTGTGTTTTCTTTATTGTATCTATTTCCATTTTCAAGTCTTGAATAGTTTCTTTCATATGTTTGATTGCTTTTTCTTGGTTTTCTTTAAAGGTTTAGTTGATATCTTCCAGTTTTTTTGTCTTTTCCTCCAATTCTTTGAGAGAATTTCTCATTTTCTCTTTAAGAGTTTCAAACATACTTCTGAAGTTATTTTTTAGGTCATTTTCTTCTGCTTCATCTATATTTTGTTGTTCAAGTCTTGCTGTTGTAGAGTCTTTAGGTTTTACTTGTGTCTTGTTGCTCTTTGTGGTGTTGCATGTGTTCTTACTTTTTCTACTCATCTTTTCCTCTAATAGGTGTGGTTGGTGCTGTCTTTGATTCAGTTGATTAATCTTCTAGGTGCCAGTAAATCCGAGGCTCAGATGGTTGTTCCTCGTGGTACAGTTCTAGTTACTCCATTGGTCACCTGTGTTCCTGGAGATCTCTCAATGCTCCCAGACATTGCTCCACTCCCTTGGAGTTCGGTGTCTCAGGCCTGCTCTAGCCTAGGTTGTCCACTCAGGCCTGTTTCTGTAAATGTCCCTGGTCTGGATCCATTCCTGTAGAGGTCCCTGGCTTGAAGTTGGTCTTGTAAAGATCTCTGGCTCCTGTCTACTCCCTTGAAGTTCCCAGGCTCAGGTGAGTCCAGACCCACAGAGTACCTGGCTCAGGTTTACTCCCTCAGAGGTCCCAGACTCATGCTCAGACCCACAAAAATCTCTGGGTTCTTGTGTTGAAATAAGGAGCGGCGGGGCTGCGTCCCCAACACCCCGGCCGCCCGGCTAGCTCAGTCGGTAGAGCATGAGACTCTTAATCTCAGGGTCGTGGGTTCGAGCCCCACGTTGGGCGCCATCTGTTGAAATAGGAGCGGCGGGGCTGCGTCCCTGGCACCCGGTCGCCCGCATGGCTACCTTATGCCCGAAATAATTACATGGAAACTGTATTCTTTCAAACACTGCCTGGCCCGGCTAGTTCCAGCTTCTTATTGGCTAGCTCTTACATATTGTTCTAACCCATTTCTAATATTCTGTGTAGCCCACGAGCTGGCTTACCAGGGAGGATCTTAACCTGCGTCTGTCTGGAGTGGGAGAATCATGGCGACTCCT